TCGAGTAGAACTCACACCCTAGACTTTTTATCATTTAACTGAATTACCTGGAATTCGTCAATGAGATTTTCGCCAATTAACAAGTGGGTGGTCAACCAGACGTACCTACTCTCCTGGCGCCAACCACTGATCCGATAAAACAATTTCGCCAACACAGCCGAATTTCATATGGAAGTCGTCAAATATATTTTCGCCAATTATCAAGTTGGTGGTCAATTAGACGTTTCGCATTCTGGCGTTATCTATTCCCGATAAAATATTTTCGCCACCACAGCCTGCTTCGACACAAAACAGATGCCTTTTCCAAACGACCTTATGGTTTGGTCTTTTGTTTTTGTAACTTTGTGTGGTCCAAATGAACATTTTGCGACACGGTCAATGTTTATCTATTTAGAATTCTGTCTCTGAGGTTATTTGGCCAACCTGGAATTTCCACCCGCCCCGTAACCTAAATCAGATTAATTCCAGTATCTTCCTTTTTACCTTCTCGACAATGGAAAATAAAAATTTTATCACTTTTCCTTGTCAGAAAAATAACACCGCTTAGTGTCCTTTTCGTGATGGCTTCTTATCACCTAATTCTAATTCTCGCCTTTCTTTATTTTTCCTTCCTTTTTTTCTCCTTTCTCCCTTTTAGCAAGCCAAATAGTGTCACAGACTGGCAACTAGGTCTCATCATTTTAATGTTGGAACAACTAGATACAACCGTAATTCCTATTTTAATAGTTCCTCTTCCCACACTTCTTGCCTGTGGAACCCACTTCTGATTTCTTGATTCGTTGTCACCTAAAATCTTCAAGAAATTTAAACGCAACGCCAATCGCCATCTTATTTCTTCTTCGGCTCTGTTCTTCCATGTTTCTTGTTCCTCTCTTCTCACGAAAGTCTTTCCATTCTCCCAGTAACCATTTGCGTCTCAGTGGTTTTGTCACCTTGCTTGAAGTAAAATGATTAAAAAAAAGGAAACGAAAAATGACAAATTTCGCTATATTTTTAAGAAAAATTGTATCAAAAACAATTTTGACCAGAAACAAAATAACTCTACTCGTTGTAAACACCAGCATGCCAATCTCTATTAACAGCCTTCGTGATATCTAAAGAAACAGTCTGATCTTTACTATTCTTTTCTAAAATGTGATATACACTTTGAACAAAACCCACTATACCACACGCACTTGAAAGAATCTCTCCCTTTCATTGATATCCCAATAGTAAGAATGAAATTTAATTCGGAAAACTCTATCCTATGATCTTTTGATTTATGCAATCAACACCTAAGAGGATGTTTATCTAATTACTCCAATTTCAAATTGTTCAAGTACGGGTTTTAACGATTTTTTACTCTGTATCTTGAGAATATTCAGTTCCTACACCTACTTCTGTACCTGCATTAACCCAAGTCAGCAACTTTGTATCTTGAGTGGATGTTGGCCTCGTATTGGGCGAACAATTAGGAAAAAACAAACAAAAACTTGAAGGATGTCATTTTCTGCAAATTCTGTTTTTAAGAAAACATGTCTTTGAGATTTTAAGTCAAACCTAATGCCTACGGTTTTATATGCACACACACGCACACACACACACGCACGCACACACGCGTACACACACACACAGAAACACTTCTGAACTGATTTTCATGTAGTGCTAGAAAGCCCAATCTACTTTACTATTTAATACAGACCTTCTGGAAAAGGAAATGAGATAAATCCATGTTTTTTTTTCATTTTAAGATTTGCTCACGAAAGACAAGGCGCAAGAGACATTCAAGGTAGAGGTTTATTGAATGAGATTGTTGAAGGTTGAAGTAAGAAGTGAATATCATGATAACCTGTAGGACAGATATCGGATGACCCTGAAATGAAGAGACCGGCTTTTTAGTTGTCAGGAAAGCACCCTCTCGGGAGAGTTTGGTGCAGGAAGTAAAAATTCTGGGAAGAAGCTGAATGGAACTTGATCCTTATCAGAGGAACTGTAAGTGTGTGGGGACGATTTACCACCGTGAGGATAGCATGGAGAACTCATTGCTACGAAGGTCTGAGTTGGTGGGAGTAAAGAATTCGTTTGAACATCTGCCATATTAAAAGCAAAAAACTAGTGAGAGGCTTGCACTCTTTCGACTGTAGAATAAGGATTGCAGGATGGAGAATAATTCATCACCGTCAAGGTTGCGTAATCGCTTTTGAAGTCTATCACGACAGAGCATTATTTTTTTTTAAAAAATAATCTTTCGGTATACAGTGTACTTATTTCCTTTTAGTGTTTTGCCTGTATACGGAAAAATTGTGTCCCGAAGATGACAGTTTGAAATTGTCGAAAGTGCTTAGTTCGTCAATTCCATCTGATAACAACTTAAATATACAACAACTCAAATATAAGGATCGTATTATTCAAGGAATTGATAGTAAGTCAATGTCTCATTAAGTTAGCGAAGTGAATTCATCATTAAACTCATTAATATTGATCATTAACTCTTTGTATAAATTACTTTTAATAAATATATATATATATATATATATATATATATATATATATATAGAGAGAGAGAGAGAGATAGAGAGAGAGAGAGATAGATAGATAGATAGATAGATAGATAGATAGATAGATAGATAGATAGATTTAGATTTATTTTTTGTGGAAGCCAATGTTAAAATATACGATTAAGGGCCAATATATTCTATTATTTTTTTTTTTCCTTATCGAGCTTTTCCTCACATTTATTGCGCTGGCAGAAGATAGTGTGAGAAAAAAGTGTTGGGTCGAATGAAAAAAAAAACAACAAAAAACAAAAACAAACAAACAAAAAAAAAACACTTACCAAACCATGAAGCAAATATTCGAAAACAAAGCAAAAAAAAAAACAAAAACAAAAAAAACTCGAAATAACGGAATTTGGCGACAAATGCAGATTTACAGCGCGAAAGAACAGTGGGTGTAGTGTGGGATGGTGTGGAAGGAATCAGACGATGGGAGGTTTCGATTTAAAAAGAAAAGGGGTTTCGGTTTTTCTGCGAATGAAATTGAGGCATTAGGCAGGGACACGTCGTAGATCGTGAGTCGGATAAAATACGGCAATAAAAGAAAACGAACCCCCGCACCAGCTTATGCACGCACACCGACACATACATACAAGCAGGTAAGCATTCGCTGAGACACGAACACATATAGATCCAGCGCACGCACACGTATAAGCAAACACAAAAAAATGGCCAAAAATACACTCTAACAATAAAATAAATGCATAAATAGCAGTAAAGTGTAGGGGGTAATGTAAAAGAAACGTACCTGCTTAGAATTGCTTAAGGGAAAGTTCTAAATCCATCTTGTAACGAACAAATTTGCAGCCTCCTGAGCTGCGTATATGTGACTATACATATCTAGTAATCGATATATAGTTCAACGTCTTGAAATGACTGCCTCACGGGATCGATCGTTGGAATGCTAATATACGTTTACAAAAAAAAACTGCCATATTTACATAAAAAAAGTTTGTCACGAGACAAAATGGCATTAATTTATCATAGATTATTGCGCAAATGCATTGACCTTATCGAATTCAGAGGTCAACATTTCTAGCTGTTCCTCGCTTGTATGCATTTAATTTGCGTTCCTAATTATTAGCTCGCCCTGGGTATGACGATATACTACATCCGCGTCCTGGGTAAGACGATAAATAACGTCCAACTGCAACGCCTATGATCAGGAGGTTTTGAGGAGCGTGGAACCACCTGTTAATTGCTGGTATTTCCAGGTTCACCATGACACGGGGTGGTAGCACCTATTAGGGTCCCAGCTATGGGCAAATAGTTAACACCCAAGCTTGTGTAAAAATAGGTCTTAATAGCAGAAATACTTTGGAAAAAATTATTACCAGCAATAATTTTGAAGGAAAAATTATCAGCAATCCCTTTAAAAAAAAAACCAGCACTACAACCAGCTATACATTTTTTGAAAATAAAATATTACCAGCCATAGATTTCTCGAAGTTTGAAGAAAAAAATATTCCAGAAAAAGGTTTCTGAAGAAAAAAAATATTCCCAGAAATAGATTTTTGAAGAAAACATTACCAGCAATACATTTTTGGAAAAAAATTATCAACAGTAAACATTTTGTCGCCATTAAATAAGCCTTTAAAGTTGATATGCCGTAAAACAAACCAAACCAAGCCTAATTGTTAGCTTTTATCTACATGTCTGATTATATCACTCTCTTCATATCTATCTATCTATCTATGGAACATGGCTTCTCAGTGTCTTTTCTTCAAATATTTTCATGGCAACTGCTCTGACGAGCTTTATTCCCAGATGCCCGACTGTGTGAATTTAAGCGTGCTCCTCGAGTGTCATCTAGATCCCACCAGTTTACTGTTGAAAAAACTAAATGAAACCGCCACTTCTAATTTAACAGTTTCTTTATTCGCACTTCCCGCCCGTGGAACTACTTTCCATTTACTTGCTTCCTTGATAACTACAATCTAAAAAATTAAATGCAACGTCAATCACCATATTTTGTCTACTTCAATCCCGATCATTTTTTGTCTTTTCGTCAATCCTCCCTATACTCAGTCTTTTCTCCCACATATACTTTCTGTAACCTGCTTTGTACTAGTGGCATTCATCATGATTATGTCAACTGTATAAAATTCGTTTTCAAATCAAAGCTGAAAATTGCTTGAAGCATATGGATCCTGGTAAAAAGCATCCTTCTTCGGACACTGTTCTGTGAACTGGTCCTTCCGAACCACAATCAAACAAAACATCTCACTCGGGGACTTTCAAAAAGAGTACAAAAACTAAAATCGGTTTATCACGTGTAAGTAGAAGAGAAAATAATGACATAATAAAGATGCTGACATTCCACACTACTTGAAACAAAAGGTTAGGAAAGGAAATCCCATCACTACTAGAAAGAACAATAACAGTTACTGGACTTGAGAAACCTATTTTCCTGAAATTTTATTTAAAGAGAAAGGTTGTATTAATAATATATTCAATAATTGTCGA